TTGGAGTATTCTGCTCTTCCCACTAGATGGCCTCCAAGAACCAGTATTTTCTGCTATTTTGTAATTGGGTGTGGTTGTGTGTCTCTAAAGTTGAGTAAGATATTTACTGTACTGTGGTATGTAGTGGGGTGTTTGGGATGTGGGGGAAGAAGAAGGGAGGAGACAGTAGGACTGGAATCTTACTATCAGAACTGGGCATATTGGCAGGATTCCATGAGAGAGTCTGAGAGCGTTCAATTAATTCAGCTGGGATTAAATCTTATTTCCAGTGAATATTTAAAGCATTCAGGCATTAGCTGGAGGTGGCTGGAATTACATCTGTCTTTTCAGGTGGTTGTTCCCCGCTTTAGCTATAGAATCTGTCTTGGTTCCATTTTCTATAAATGTGAAACTAGCTCATGCAGAACAGGACAGAAAGCTTATATGGGAAGAAATGGTTCTCAGAAAACCTTTGCCTGGGAGGCAGGAAAAACCAGTTTGAATTCCTTCGGGTAAGGAAGACATTAAATGGAAGAAACATCCTGAGTAAGTACTGTAAGTATGGAGTTAAAGAGTAAGAGGAGGAGCTTGACTCACAAGCTTCATTGTGGGGAAAAACAAATCAGTAAACGCTCGCCAAAACCCCCACCAATTTTGGGCTGACAAGCTATGCAAAATTTCCTAGCAAGAGAGTGAATCCAAAGCAGAGATTGCTTCCAAGCACTTCTATGTTGAATACCATAGTTTTAGGTTAACTTTTAACCTTTTCCCCTTCAATATCAGTGCCACCATATTCACTGCTGTGGATGCTGCTCAGCAAAACAGTTTTGAAAGCTGGACTGTACTGGGGAGATATCTATAGAAATTAATGGCCTCTTAGGAGCATGATGGTTCTTTCCTTGGAACAGTGAGGAAAGTATGGGGACAGCTTGAACAATGAGGAAAAACAGTAAGGAATAATTTCCCATTTATGTGTTAATCCTGCATTTCCCTTATGAGCAAGGAGCCCTGAAAGAGGAATAGCTGTGTGTGTAATCAGGTGGCTGAAGTCTGCATGCCAGGGCTCAACCAAGAATGTTTGGCTTTGAGGTGTGAAGATGTACACAAGGTTTCAGTCACTTTTATTGCAGTAAATAATATTTTATCTGGGGTTGTGTGGGTTCTTTCGTCGTCGTTTTTTTTTTTTTTTTCTACTGTGGAATTTCCATTCATGTATCTGGTGATGGTGTTACCAGAAAAGCTATGGGAATTGGCTAGGGTCCAAGTCCACTAAGGTTTCTAAGTGCCTTTTCAAATTATTATGGTTTGAGTACTTATGTGGAAGACAGATTGACAGATACTGTGAAGTGATTGATTACCTTTCCTTGTTAGCCTTGTGTCTTTCCCCAGGGCAGGCCTCTTCTCTAATCCACTGCTTATTTATAGGGCAAATAGTGAGGTTTATCCTGCCCCGAGCCACCTGTTGATAAGGATACTGTTCCAGCTTTCATCACTTCCTCATTATGTTTATATCTGTTTTCTAAAGTAGGCAGTATGCTTTAAGAGCCAGGTTCCTCTTCCAGTTCTTTTATAACCAAAAAATTTCCAAGACAATTTTATCCAAAAAAAAGCCTAGACCATTTAAAAATAGCTGTCACTATTTGGAGGAGCATTTGAACAAAGCATTCACTCCAGACTTAAGCAAAAACCTTGCCATTGTCTGATTTTCAGAGATGTACTGAACAAACATCCCTTGCAACTAAGCTTTCTGTAAATGAAAAGCGGAAAAGCAGAAAACCCAAAAGGTTAAAAGGGGTAAATTGTAGCAGTTGCTGCTTCTGAGCATTAAAATAACTGGGCTGAATACTGTGGGCTACTTTTTGATGTAGAGTTAATTCTCTTCACATAGTTTGGATGGGACCTTGTTTTGGATTTGTGCTGAACACAGGGTTGATAATTCAGGGATGCTTTACTGTCTTTATCTCAACCTATGAATTTTCTCAGTTTTACTCCTCTGATTCTCCCCCCCACCCCTTTGTGGGAGGATTGAGTGGCTGTGTGGGGCTTTGGGGTTAAATCACAGCAGCTTGTGACTGTGTAGCTCTCAAGCTGCCTTTGAGAGCTCTCTTTCACTGTGTGTATGCAGGTTTAAGAGCTGATGTTATATGTGTGTAGTTTCTTGCAATTTTTCTGAAGAATAGATCAGCAAGATCAGAAAGACTAAAACAGCTATTTTCTAACCAGAAACACGTTACAAAATTAGTTTCTCTGTGTGACTTCTTGAGGCACCAATATAAACTGGTTATAATGACCTTAATTCAACTGCAGAAGGGGAAGTTTGAAATTCATATCACTGTACCTGACCAGGATTTACTCAGCAGGTCTTGTACTAATAACGCTTAAGGACCTCCTTTTTCAAAAGACAATGGAATATACTGGTCTGATTAATGACTCCATTATTATTGTATTAGTTACCAATTTTTAATATAGTATTAGATTTAATTAATAATAATGTTGGTAGCATTAGAGACGCAAAGTGAAGAGGCTACAGACAATTTCTGAGATTTTTCCAAAGGAGCCATGTCAGAATGGAAGTACTCCAAAGCTTTTGGCCAAACCCATTCTCACCCTGGATGAACTTAATTATCTCCATTTTTGTAGATTTCTAAATTCATTGCTGGCATTTAAACTGTTGTACCACTGATGGAGGACATTTGCAGGATTTAATAGCAGATCTAAACATATCTTGGGCTTCCTGAGTAAAAGAGAGAAACCAGAGGGACCTATTATCTGCTTTGTTTTAATTTGAGGTATTTGTACTGATTGTTCCTCATTAATATTTGCAACGAGCATCTCAGTCTACCACTTCAAGAAAAAGTACCAATAATTCTTTTGTTTCTGGACTTAAAACCAAAACAGTTTTCTATGTTCTTTATGCCACTAAGCTGAACACAACAAAATTTTCCTATTTCTAGAAACAGAAGCTAGTTCACTCTTCATCCCTAGGCTCTAAAACTTTACTTGGGTTTCTCATCAAACTCAGGATGAGTTTGTTCCCATCCCTGTAGTTTTCCCACTTAGGTTCTTGCAGACTGTGCTACCTTGTGGCTCCTTAGGGAGTTTAATTACTGTACCAGAATGTTGAGGCAGCAGTTACTACTTCTTCCAGCAGCAGCTACCATAGTCTTCCGAAATTACTGGCTATTCTGCTTCAGATGCCTGCAAATGAGGGAACTGGCTCCAACCACACACTAGATCTCTGAGCAAACCCAGTAGCTCCCTGGCCAATTTGTGTCAGCTGAAGCTGAAGCTCAAGCCATCACAGCCCAAGATAATGCTTCAACATAAATGTCTTTAATTTCCTTTTATTCTTAACTGTCAACACCCTTGCCTTCCCTTAGTTGTGTTTGCAAGGTTTCCCTAAGAAATCTGTTCAGAATCTGTCAGCTGTTTTCTCTTTGTTTTCCACACCCAGGAAGTCAGGCACATGAAATGAATTCCTCTGGATTAATCTCTACATCTTTTAACAAACAGTGAAACTTCAGATGACAATATACTGTAGCTTTTAAGTTGTGCTTAAAAGTGAGTGGGGAAAAGTTATGATAGAGATGAAGCATGTATCTTTATGCATTATTTAAGAGAAGCTGAATTACATAGCATCAGGATGGGGAATACCAGTCCAGACAATTAACATCTGTTTGAACAGCAGGGCTTGCTGGGCATCTTTTGTTTTCCCAACTTTCTCACGTGCACATTTTGACTGCAGGGTCCAGGGTACTGTATAATATACTATCCTTTTGGCAGCCATTCCTGCAAATACTCAGCATGGATAGTGATGGTCACTCTTGGCCTTTGGTGCTGAACTCAGTCTCCCGCTGAGGCTTGGCTGTCTGTGGCAGTCAGGCCACAGAACTGCATGGGACAGGAATACAAGTCACATGCCAGGTGGGGTTTGACAAGTCAGGGTTTCACAAAACACAACATTTCTGTCATGTCTCACTCATGTTTAGACAAATTAGGAGAGTTTCGATTTCCCAAGAGCAGAGCAAGCCTGGGGCTCATATCCTGCACTGCCACAACAGTGAGTGCAGACGTGTGCACAAACTATGTCATGTACCTTTGCTGTTCAAAAGGACTTAAAGTGACATTCAGAAAGGTTATTAGGTGTCAAATAATGCTCTTTTTCAATTCATTCTCCATAAGAGAAAATTAATATCTATGTAACACAATGAAATTACTTCTATGTAGAAATTGTATCGAAGGAGGATGGTGGTGACCATGATAAACCTCCTGGGCACTGTCTGAAACTGAATGCTCATCCATGCAGTGTCATTGATAACAAAGCCTGTGTATATTTTGAATTCCCAACCTATTTGGTTTCTGGATGACATGAAGCAGATGTCTGCTGGGATCAGTTGTCCCCAGGTTGGGGAGTGGGAGCATGTTTATACAGTGCCATTAGGGCGAGGGTTTACTGTGGGAAGAAAAAAAATCCTGTTAAAAAACAAAACAAAACAAAACAAACAAAACCAAACCAAAACAAAACTGTGTTCAGAGCAGAGCTTGATTGTCCTGCTCAGTTTTCAGTTACAAGACAGGTTGACCCCATATGGTAAATCAAAGTCTAGACTGACGCTTTTCTTATGAACTTTGCTGAAGCCCCTAAATCACTACCACACATCATTTTTTATTTCTTTGGCACAGCCTATCTCCTGCTAAGCTTGCCATGACTTCAGTGAATTTTTTTTTTAACTCACGGCCATAATATTGAAGAATATAATGCAGACAGATGGATGATTAATTGTATGAGAAGTAATTAAAATGAAACATGATCTCATACTTTCATGTGTAGCAGAATTTTTGGTATTTATCTTGTTCTCTGTGTCCTGCAGAACTTCCTGATAAATTATCATCTAGATACTAAAACTTCAAACCAGACAAGAAAAATTAAAGAGCTTCATTTGTGCAATTTGAAATTAGACCATGGCTCTAAAAAATAAAGGCAATTAAAAATTGGGATGTCTCAGCTGCTTGATTAAACATCTAACAAGATGCATGACTGACACTCCTCTCCAATCTTTATTTATTTGTTTATTATTAAAAAGCTCCTCAGATGTGTATAAGCCATCTGCTGTTCTCAGATTTTCTGAGCCTTGGTATATTATGCATCTGCAAAGCATTTTCATTTAATGCCATTAACTACAGAAATTTGAGAATGAAAATTTCCGGTAGAAAAAGCTGATGCTTTCTAGACATTTCTGATTATGGCCCTATCTTTCCTCTTTTGTCCCCAACAGCTTTATTCTGATCATTACAGCTAAGCTGCAGGCTGCTTTGGTGTGATGAATGACACTGGCCAAGCGACAGCAGCCAGGCTGGGTCATTCCAACATCTCTGGGCTACTTATCCTGGTTATTTCCTCAGCTCAGTGTGGAATCTTCCACCTGGAGATGGGGCCCTGGCTCAGCCACAGGACTGCAGAGCAGCCTGGGACCTGGATCATGGTGTGTTCAACATCATGGTCTAACAGTGCCAGGATGGGCAGGACAGCATGACAGCCTGTGAGGAGCTTCAGATGAAGGAGGATGCTCTGTCTGCTGGTGTTGGTGTCTGACAACAGCCCAAGGAGGGGTCACTCAGGTGAGCATCCCAGCTGACTCCCAGCTACACACCTCCTATCACAACTACAGTAAACTGAACTGAACCATGCCTTAGCCCTGCCCCTTCCCCTCTTGCAAGGGCAAGGAAAGCCCACAACCCTTCCCTGGGCACAAGCATCCTTGCAGACAGGAATGTGAGGAAGCCCAGCCTGGGTCAGCTTCATCCAGACCTGCCATGCAGCTGGCAGTCAGCTGCCACCCTCCCCTGACTGCGTTTGCCTTCTGCCTGCTGAAAGCTGCTGTACTTTTCTACAATCATGAGCACGCTGAGCTTTGCTGGGACAGCTGCTGTAATACAGCAGACACATGGAAATGAGAAGGAATACATCAGCACCATGAAAGAAACTGGCCCTTAGCTCCTGGATGGAAGCTGAAGCAAGACATGGCAGCTGCAGCTGGTGAACTGTGTGTTACTTCAGGCACTGGACTTTCCAGCTGACCCTTGTTGTTGATTTGGACATGTACCTGTGGCTTTCAGTCATCTGCCTGCCTGTCAGTGTCTGAAAGATGGAAATCCCAGCCTTGTGGATGAGGAGGAGGATGAAATAGTTATTCATCATTTGACCTTCAGTGTTAGGAATCTCCTTCCACCAGTAAAATTCCAGGAGAATTCCTTAACTCTGCAGCAGTGAGCCTGCTGTGTAGCAGCAATGCTGTAGGGCTCTTCAAGCCCCCATGAGGGAAAAGTGGTGGTGAGGAGGCACCACTCTGATGAGTAATTCCACCATACCAGGCCCCATCACATCACAGAAATGTCTTTCTCTGAGGCATTGGCCCTCTACCTGTGCATTGCTCAGCTTCCCCCCTCCATCAGTCAACCCCCTCAGCCCATGGAGGGGAAGTCATTGGTGCCACACAGCAAAGATGTTATTTCACTAAAGAAAAAGGTGAGACTGGAGCATGTAACTTCTCATTTGTGAAGTATGAAATCAATTTTCACATCAAACCCTGTATGACTTGGGCTTGTCTTTACCTACAGCTACACCAGGGCTTCCCACTCACCTTGCAGGAGTAGCCAGGACCTGATGCAGATGTGTGGGGCAGAGTGAGCTAGACTCATCTGAAGAGGCAGATGAGAGTTACAGAAGCTGACAGGTGTAAAGCTGTGGAGATTATCCAAATGTCTTGATGGGTCCAGGTCTTGATTTTTATTACTATTAGGGCTGGTTTCAAAGACAATTTCCTATAGCTGACCAGGGTTGCCCAAATAAGCACATGCATTAATCATGCTGTGTTCAAGGTACAGGTGCATTGTAGCACCAGACTTAATTTTACTGTACCAATAGTCTGTATATTCATACTGGAAAAATCAAGGGTTTTTTTTGCAGCTGGATCAAAGCTAATACTCTAATATTAATAATGAAACCAAGTGGTGCAATTTCTGGGCAGGGGTAAATGACCATGAAGTAACCCTACACAAAGGATCCCCATAATTTAAATTCAGTTTCGCTATATTATACTCTTTACAACACCTTTTATTTGCAGTGTGGTTTTTGCCAAAGTCTTTTTTTCTGCTTCATAAAAACATTTAATAAATTCTTCTGGGTTTTGTTTGATGTTGGAAAAATAACAGCAAACCTACATAGCACAGAGTTTTGGGGAGGGCAATAGGAGGTCATGAGGTGTAACTGCAGCAGGCACACGGAGTACTGGTGGTCACTTTTTGACTAAGCACTGAAGTGAATGCAAAGCTGGGGAGCCTGAGGACTGTGTCAGATTTCCTTATAGTGTTTTCAATCTTCTTTAAGGGTTTGAAAGCACTCTAAACTACAATGAAGACTAGTTTCTACTTGAATCTTTTAACCTATTCCATGGGTGGTTTTGTGGCTTATAGTGGTTTTTGTATGTTTGTTTGTTTGTTTTGGTGGGTTTTATTTTCTTTTTGTTTGGATTTTTTAAACATCTTTTACTTTTCCCCTGAGGGAAAAAGAGACATAGGTAAAACCCAGTCCTATAAATGACAAGTTATTTTTTGTTCCTGAACTCTTCTCTGCTTAATTAGTTTATGCAGCTGAAAATGAAAAAGAAAACTCCATGCCCTACAGCTATATGTGCTCATGTATAGCACCTAATATCTTAAATCCCTTCATGTGTCTCTAAAGGATACCTATTAGAGTTGTGTGTGGAAAAAACAGCACAATCTGCTGCATATAATTCTCACACTTTAAAAAATATTTTTTATATAAGTGGGCAGCTTTACTGTCAGCCTGCACTGGCATATTTTTTCTCAATTGCCTCTTCCCTCTTAATATAGAGTGCCTTTCTTATGCCTTCTTGTCTGATATGTTTTTCAAAATTCTTGTCCCTGGCCTGTGCCAGCCTTGCCAGGACTCAGAGCCAGCCTGACTGAAAACCATTCTGAGGTTTTGTGGCAATGCCACAGCCATGGTGGGTGAGGGCTCGTGCCTGAAGCCCCGTCCTCATTGCTGCTCTGGGTGATGCACAGCCTGAACAGCTGCTGTGCCCTCATCTTTGCCAAGCACAGCTGTGGGCAGACGATGGCCCCCCTCTCCAGACTAGACTTTGGGGAAAAGGCGAAAAATGAAGGAATTTGATGACAGCACAAATTTGCACTTGGATTGAGATACAGCCTTGGTCCTTTGTCTTTGCAGCAACATGAGCATCTGGAGTCAATGGAAATTGAATCCAGAAGGTGGTTGGGAACTACTACTATGGCTTCCATGCTTGGTAGTCAGCAGCACTGCTAAATGCAATAAGCCAAACATTCAGTTTCTGTGAGCAAGTGCAACATAGCTATTATTGTTCTCTTTCCACAATGTGTGATACCAAGAGATTAAATATGACAGTGCAAGTCCCACAGCATCACAGGCACAATACCATGAGGGCCATGAGGCTGAGGTCTCAGCAGCAGCGGCGCTGTTTCAGAGAAGTCCAAGTGTCTGTGTTCCCTTAAAGTGTTTGTGGCAAATCTAGGCTAGCAGAACACCTTGCATTCTCCTAGCATAAAGAGAAAAGTCCTGCATTTTCTTCTTTTCCAGTTAGGCTTGCACTAACTGGTAACACAGAGTAATATCTGTGTTCAAATAAACAGCCACCTCTACAGAGGAAGTTGAATCTTCATTCTTCTCCAGAAGGACAAAGACAGAAGTACATACCATTAATTACTGGTGCAATGGCCCAAGCAAGTTTTCATAATTTGTTTTAAATGTCATTATAGGGGATGTGAGTGCTTTCAGAAGATCGCTTTTGGAGTGTGTGTTCCAGTCATCTCCAGGATGTCATCTGTATGTAATTTGGAAGCAAAAATTGTATTTATTAAGGACTCCCCACTTCCAATATGCTGCCTAATGTTATGCAAAATTATATGTCACTCAGAGCAGATTGAGAGTTGTAATAGCTACACTGGATGAACAGAACAGATCTCAAAAGGTAGGAAGCCAATCCTACAATACATTATTCATGGCTGGCCAAATCAGCTCCAGAAGCTGCAAGTAAGGGAAGAAGGGATTTTTAGCTTTTTTTTTTTTTGCTTATACTATATATATAATATTTATAGCTTTCTTTTTATTTATTTATCTATTTATTTATTATAACTTTTAAAATTTATATTATATATATTATATTTATAGCATTCTTTACTCTCTAAAAATTCTGACTCCAGTGTTGCATTTGCTTCATGCATAATCTCCTTGCTTATTTTTTTTTTTTTGCTTATACTATATATATAATATTTATAGCTTTCTTTTTATTTATTTATTTATTATAGCTTTTAAAATTTATATTATATATATTATATTTATAGCATTCTTTACTCTCTAAAAATTCTGACTCCAGTGTTGCATTTGCTTCATGCATAATCTCCTTGCTTAAGCAACCTCTGGAAAGAAGTTTCAGGGTGATTAGATACTTCTGAATTGTGAGTTTAAAAGCTTACAACATTTTTGAATAAAAACATTTCTATTACTACAAAAACTTTATTAAATGAAAGTATTTTGTTTTGCTGTAGCTATCAATTGCTTGTGAGCAGAAAAAAAAATAGTATTTTTTCTGATGAGGCTGGCATTTTAATTTATTTGCACAGTAAGTCATCCTTTAAGAATACAGACTTTCTGACAAGACAGAGTAATGAGGACAATCCCAAAATGTATCAGTAATTTTGTGCTGCAGAATACTGCTCCAAGAAGTATTCTTGTATCTATCCCTGGACAAGAGGGATAGAATCCATCCATAGTCTTTCTAGACATATAAATCAAAAGTATTTTATTATCTCTGGGTGTGCATCAAAAAACAGGGCACAGTTACACTAATAAGAGAATCTGAATATTACAAATGCAAACAGTGCTAGACTTTCACATTAACTTTTACAAAAAAGTTATCCTATAAATCTCTTGCTGACAGATAATCCAGGTAAGGTTTCTCTATCACCTGTCACGGTGAAAGACTGTGGTTCTCTCTTGAAGAGGAGTTTTAAGCTATGCAGTCATTTCTCATGGGTCCTGGATAGGTCATCTTGTTTGTGAGTTAACCAAGTCATAGAAAAAACTCTGAAGACCTAACCTTTTCATGCCTCATTTCCACTTCTCATAATGCCATGTGTATGTGCCTAATCAATATTTTTTTTAAATATGTTTTTACTTTATCTCCATTTCCTCAGATGCTCAGAAGATGACCATGCTCTGAATTTTCTGCAGCCAAGTATGCTTTATTGAAAGATCAGGGAAGTAAAATCAGAGTATTGGGAAGTACATTTGTTCCTCATTCCTCTGACTTTGGGGTGGACTGAGATGCCCAAATTAACAGCTTGATTATCACAAACCTCATACAAAAGCAAGAGAGACACAGCTCCTTTCCTCCTGCTCCTTTGCTAATGTTAGGCCTCTGGACTGCTAAACTTCAATATTTTGTATAAAGAAATGCCCAAGCTTATTTCTGTTCATGCACGAGCTATCTGAGTCTAACCCATTCATTTTAACAAACATTTTCTCCAAAGTAACTTTAGTGTAGCTAAGAGTCTGGCCATCACCTAGCTGACTGTGCACTCCAGGTCACATCAATTCAGCTTCCCCTTCTACTTTGTATAATTTATTCTAATGGAAAAATGTAACCTGGTCTTTGTATGTGAACTCTTGACTCAAATGAAAATCATATTCTACTGAGGTTCTGGGTGTTTTTTATCTTCTCACTTTAAGGTCATGGTAAAATCCAAATTCAGTAATTAAATGTATGCTATATACATCCAAGACTGTAATTTCATGTTAGTTATCCAGTTGTAACTAAACATTATGTCTTCTTGTTAAAGAGGCAAAGAGATACTTCCTGGAGGGGATAACAGCATGTTCTTCCAGATAATGGCAACCTTCTGAAACAAGCTAAACACAGAAACTCCACAGGAGGTGGCATTTATGGGCTAGTACCAGGTCAATATTGAATTATATGTTATGTTAGCAATATATTTGCAGTAAAGGTGCAAATTCAACTGTTAAAAGGAGATGTGTTTTACAGCACTTTGTCTTTATATATAATTCAAAGATTGATTTGCCACTCTGCAATGATTGATCCCAGTGGGAATTCTGACATTTCAGCAATGTATACCAATAACTCAGATGTGCTACTTTTTTCCTCTGCTGTATTTCTGACACAGCACTGAGTGTGGTGGTGTTTCCGTCAGTAACCATGAGGTGGCACAACGTGCTCAGCAGAACAGCAGCCAAAACTTCCTTTTAGTATTCCTTTGTACATCATATTTCTTGGCATATTAGGTTTTAATGGGGAAAGGCAGGCTGTAAAATTAGTTGAGCTTTCATAAACCATACTCTATTAGAAAAGCAATGACAGAGATATGTATTTGTGTGCTTGTATTTTGTGATGCTTTTCATTCTAATAAATAATAATTTTGAACATTCTGCTACAGGGTGATGTTAAAAATAAAGATCACTGTTCTTTTCCCTTTTTGGTTATTTTTGTTTTGTTTTGTTTGCTTTCAACTACAGAATTCTGTTTTTAGTGTGCTGTCTTTTCTGTTTTCTTTCTTTTCCCAAATCTCTTTTTCAGTGCTTGCCTGTCCAGGCTTGATTTTTGATGTGAAATAGGTTTGATGAGATTAAACTACTCAGTGCTTGCCTGTCCAGGCTTGATTTTTCTTTTAAGATTATTGTGATGTGAAATAGGTTTGATGAGATTCAACTAGCCACTAGACTAATTTCTTACTAGCTAGGCAGATTAATAGAAGTGCCTTTTGAATCAGACACACATTATACATCTGTTAGATATATACCTGAGTTTAGTGTTTCCCCAAGCACACAGATTACCTTAAATGAAGTCCTAATTTAGATAAAAGATCTTTATCAGAGTGCATGAATTTAATGTTTCATCATCAAAAGCACATCGGGACTCATTTCTTGAGATTAGCTTTTTGTATTTTGCTGGGGTCAGTGGGGACGCTGGCCAGGCACAGACACAACCACAGCACAGCATCGGTGAGCACCACAGCCCAGGACCAAGGCTTAAAGGCAGGTAAATGCAGCCCCACAGCACAGCAGGAGAAGTGTCCCATGAGGTTTCCCAGGGCTATTTCTCAGGAGGCTGCTGCAGAGTGTAGAGACCTGCTGTGACAGTCACAGCTTGGGTGTCCTCCAGAGATGCCAGCCAGTGGCACCAGGATTGGTCCTGGGGGTGCTTCCATGGGTGGGCAATGATCTCCACTGGTGTTATTCTCCAAACCTCCAGATGCTTGGAGGAAAACTTCCTGCAGCAGCCCAGACATATCCTTCTCTAAACTTCAGGAAAAAAAGATTTATTGGAATCATAAAGTCTTTAGAAACCAAACCATGACTATTAAAATGTGTGTGTGTGTGTGTGTGTGTGTGTGTGTGTGTGTGTGTGTGTGTATAAGAGTGGCATAGAAGGTTACTCATGATCACACACCTCAAGGTCTGGCTACAGTTTACAAGCCAGGCAGCTTTACTTGCCAAGAGAAAACCAAGAAATTGCAGTGTGGATTATAAATATGAGAAGAAGGTTGTTTAAACAGGCTGTTGGCTTGCATTTGCCCCAGCACTTGGGACTCAGCCTGCTTGTCACCCTGGTTCTGGCTATGCAGATAAAGCAGTATAAGAACATACCAGTGACATTTTATGAATAGCATGGGCCAACACTGGAAGCTGATTTCTTTGCTCATGTGTAGCACAGTTCTCATTCCAAACACATCACGTGCTAGGAGATGCCGTAACCCCTCCTTGTGTATGATGCTCTACTAATTGGGCAGGTACGCAATGTTGTGGAAAATGAGAAATTAGATTACTCATGACTCACAGGCAGCCAACTTAAAATTCAAGCTTCAGCAAGTCTGCCTGGCACTGACTTACAGCAGTGTTTTGAAAACATGGTTGAATTTGGGTGGTGTGAAATAAATAGGAAACTGGGACAGAAAGCTTGAAGAAGTGATATTGGGTCCTAGGGGAACAAGCAAAACAAGGAGAATGTTCCTTGCATTCCTGGGATTATTTATGCATGGCTGCTGCTTAGTGAGACTATCTTCAGAGTCTGTTGCTGGTTCTGAGAGGCAACGGACCATGCAAGGGCAGCTATTCCACAAAGCTGTCACATCCAGGACTGTGCTGTGTGATGGATGAGCAGGTACTCATGTGGAAGCAGGAATTAAATCCAGATGTTTAATTTGTTTAAAATCAAAGAGAATCATTCAAACTGTGACTTCGGTGAAGGAAGTGGAAATTATGTCAAGAAACCATCATTTATCAGCAGATAAATAAAGATGTTTGCCAGCCTAGGGAAAACGGCACAACTTATATGTAGCTGTCAAACAGCAAGCAGTACAGGCTAGATCTGTGTCCTTAGCTGCTAAATAATTATTTAGGGTCCTGAACTGCCTTGTGTCCCCTTACAGTGAAGCAGAGTGCTGCTGGTAATGCTGGGTGATCTGAGCTGACATGCTGGGAGCACACTGCCAGCATGCAATGCAGACATAGCTCTAAGGGGCAAACACTGCAGCAGCAGTCTTGATATAAAATATCTTCTTTATAGGAAAATTTTCACAGACCTGAATTCTCCATTATCTATAACACATGTATTAGTTTGCTCAAGAAACCTCTGCAAACTAACAAACCTTTCAGGCTGATCCCCAGTTACGGTTGCAGGGATAGTCAGCTCCCAGGGCAGAGTTAGGAGAGAGACCACTTCTTTAGGGTTGCATTGATGAGGGCACCCTCCACCTTAGGCAACTGTAACCCATCTGACATGACCTCAGGATGCAACCTGGCCACTCTGCTGCAAAAGTGCTATTGTGGCATATCCCCATCACTGTGCTGGGTACTAAGAAGGTTTCCGTCAAAACGCCCAGAATAGCAGGCAGGAGATGAACTGATTTGTGAAAAACCTCCTGCTGATGTTGAAGCTTTAACATGGAAGGAACATTTTCCCAACCTGAAATTTTTTGTTTAAAAGCTGCCAGGTTGTAATTAGTTATAATTAAACCAGATGAGGCTGATACTGGAAGGAAGCAAGGCAATTAGTTTGGGACGTCAATTTTTGTTTTCCACTGTCAAAGTTTGTTAAAGGACCTTGATAGATTGTTGAGTTGGCCTTTTCAACCTGCTACTCCCCACATGAAAGACAGGCAGGCAGCTGGGTGCAGAGAAGCACGTTGCAGTCAGTGTTGAGAAAAAGGTTGCATCTGCCAACATGGTGCTTGGAGGTGACAATGGTGTTGCAATGCCTGAGCTGTGGGCAACTGGGGGAAGAGGTGAAACTCAGGATCCAAACATGGGGAAGAGTCCTGCATGGCAGCTGTGCATGAAGAACTCTGCACTTGAAGTTTGGGCTAAAATCTGCCATTTTTTGGTGCAGAACTGCAGGCTTTTTAGTGACCCAGCTATGTGTTCTCATAAAATAAGAAAAGTTAGCATTGTCTCGTGCTAACCAGCAACCAGATACCCCAGCTTCAAATTCCAATTAATAATATACAGTAAACAACATTGTCTTAATCACAGAATGACAGAATATGTTGGAACAGACCTCTGAGATCATTAGGTCCAACCTGTGATCAAACACCACCACGTGAACTAGAGCAGGGCGTTGACTGCCACATTCAGCCCTTCCCCAAACACTTCCAGGAATGGTGATCCCACAACCTCCCTGGGCAGCCCATTCCAATGTCTTATCCCCCTTTCTGTAAAGAAATTTTTCCTAATGTCCAGCCTAAACCTCCCCTGGTGCAGTTCAAGACTATATCCTCTCATGCTATCACTAGCTGCCTGGAAGAAGAGGCTGAACCCCATTTGGCTACAGCCTCCTTTCAGGGAGTTGTAGAGAGTCATAAGAGCACCCCTGAGATTCCTTTTCTTCAGCCTAAACAACCCCAACTCCCTCAGATGCTCCTCAAAGAATTGTGCTCCAGACCCTTCACTAACTTTGTTGCTCTTCTCTGGACAATGTCACGTGCACTACTGAAAGCCGTTATTGGATAAAACCAGGTATCAGTTCCCATGGGTTTAATTGAGAGAGCTCTATTGAAAATTACTATAATTGTTAGTATCATATCTTATCATAATATAAATATTCTATAACATCATACCTTACCACTAAAAACACCCTTCAGGCAGCCCAAGCAGTAAAGTCTTTCATTTTAGAGAGTTTCTTCAGATCAAAATTGAATTTCAAAAAACTTCAAATTTTATGTAAAAAATCTCTACGGATATGAGAGAGTCCAAACAAGAATTCCACAATTTGTAATATATAATCATGATATGTCTGTCACTGCACCAGGCAAAAGTCTGTTAATTTCTTGCTACAGTTTTTGTTTTCAGATCCTCAAGACATCAGCCACTCTTTTAAGAAACTGGTTCAGTTTCCTGGCTCAGTCCTTAGTGAACATGTAGTGCCATATTTCTACAGTCTCATACCCACTTTTACTGTCAGCTAAAGTACTGTGGCAAATCTGTTTCTCTAAAAAACTGGAATTAAACAGAAACTTGGGAAAAGAAAAAAAGTCTAAAAGTTTGAAGGACAGATCTTCAGCTGTCCTAAAGTGTAACAGTATGACTTATTAATGCCACCAGAACAGTTTGTAGCAACAGATAATCTCCGAGGTTTTAAGACTGTCAGCAAATTCTGTTTTGCAGTACAAACCTAGTCATTTCCTGAAATTGCATGGTTCAGTTAAGCTTAAGAAAACTATCCAAGTTTATTTAGAGAGTCAACATTTATTTCCTACATAGGTGGCTGATCTGGCACTCACCTAACACCTTACTGAAAGTATGTTTTACAAAAATAAAGGAACTACTCAAGGCTTCCTACAAAAATGTTTACCAGTATGTCCTGCTATATTACAGGACGCAGCAATTAACAGTCAAATGCATTTATTATTCTCGATATCTTTTTACCCCAACATGTACAGGTTGATCAATACTATTTTGGATGTCTCAGTTTAGAAAAGAATGACAGTTTCCTTTGGCATTACAGTCTGCATTTTGGCTGGTCCTAATGAAGACAAATTCTTCTCAAACAGAATTGTTCTGTTTGTTAAGTAAGACAGATGGCACACTCACTGTATTGGTAATGATTCTGAGATTTTAAGTGTATTTGGGATATACTGGCTTGTGTTCCCTGGCTAAAACATGATAGATATTGCAAATGGAAGAGAACTCAGGTCCTGTCTTCGCAGAAATTTTGTGGCATGTACACAGTTCTGAAGGACCTACAGAAAGACAGGTTTTAGACACATTCAGACAAATCTGTAAAACATGGTCCAGCAGACATGCCTTGGCAGAAAATCAAACACACACTTCCAAATCCCTGCCAGAACTGTGTGTTGAGCCTGTGCCATCAATAGCGGTGTAGCACTCATTCCTGTTCTTCCCACCTGGTTCTGAGGGCAGCACTGGGTTCAGCTGAGGGCTTTCATTTGAGGTATATCCAGCCCCAGAAACACTAAAGAAGGGGTTTTCTCCAGTTGCCATTTCTTGTTGACTTTGTCTTAACACTTAGATCATACTCAGTTTCAGGGAAGGTTAACCAAAGTTTAGGGTGTGTTTTCTCCAAAGTCAGTGAGGTCTTTAAATTAACCAGCTGGAAAGCAGGTGGATGTACCAGAAGACCCTTGTCACCTGAAAATATTAGACTACTTTCACTGTATTTATTAGCATCCCCAATATGTTCATATTGGTAAGCTACACAGATTTTAGGAGGGAAAGAATCAAGACAAGATCTCTTCTAGCTCTCACCTGCTCAGACTTGAAAATACATGATAGAAGAGAAGACTGAAAATTCAGGACCTGAATGTTGTTTAGATCAGTTGAAGATTTCTTAGGGTACCTGTGGAGGAACTTTGTGGGCATCTGTTCAGCCTCTGGTGCAGAGGTAGAGAAATACAGGTCAGAAGGAACAGCCTTCCTGGCTGTCCCACCAATTAAATGTTTAAGTGAGGAAAGTGCAAAACCACAAACAGACTCAAAACCCTCATGATGTTTCTGCTCAATGTTGAGGCACATAGGCTCTGTAGAGAGATGAGTCTCTCTGGGGCATACAAATCTACACAGCACTTTAACTGTAATTAAGATGAAAGAAACAAAGTGTTCTGTTAAAAAGACTGCCAGCTCTCCAGAGAATATAGCTTTGTGTATCACTTTATGCTAGTGGTGACAGAATAGAAAACAAAATACCACAGTTACATACATGTTCTTTGTCTAGAAGTATTTACAAATAACTTTACAAATTTTTACACACATTTTTTTCAGTTTTGCTTGTTTACTTTTAAATTAAGAGAAAAATTAGTCCCCAGAGGCTTCTAAGGCTTCAGTTGGTGCCTTGTACTGTACATTCATGCTTGGCTTGTTCCTGGGAGAAGGGAGGAAAGGAGTTTAAAAATGTGCAAATCACAGACATCTAAACAGCCCTGGGTGTAAGGGTTCCTAGAGTTGGACATCCATTGAGCAGTCATCCTACTTCTCTTCAAATCAGAGACAGCTACTTGAGATGGACTTGGAGCAAAAGAGATTAGGAAAGGAGAAGTCATATATGAATTGCAATAATCAGGTGAGTACATTAGTGCTTGAACATCTGGGTAAGAAGAGTCATACATCAATCCCTACTGCATTCAGCAGTTCAAACAATGCAAGGAGTAGACATTGTGAATTCTAAAGACAGCATCGAAATGATCTCTTGATCACTGTTGGGGTTTGACTCTTGCTGTGTATTCTAGAGTCAAAATTACTGTTTACTGACACAGTCTTGACCAGGCACAGTATGATCCTCTCAGTCAAAAAATACTGAACTTTTGAGAAAGACGCGCACCCTCCTCCTAGTTTTTACAGGTTGTTTTGTTTTCATGCCTCAACACTAAACATTGTAAAAATACTGAAATTAAAAAAGAAAAAAATTTACAATTTACAAGTGTCCATATAAGTAAATTATTTAAAAATTCAAGATCATCTACAAGGATCTACGAAATAACAACGTTGATAATGACACTGAGCCTGTGGGAAGAACAATCCACATGCCGTGAGGAACAGATGTGGTGCGTTTCTTCCGGAACGATGATTCACAAGGTTGGTCTTTTTTTTTCTAAAATCTGTTTCTTCAGCTACAGCAGCAGAAGTCTTGAGTCCATGTTCATTACTTACTTCGACCTAAAAAGCAAGATATAAGAATTACTCACAAATGAAAATTATTTTATTTATCTTCTAATTTATAAGCTGTAAATTCATAGAAGTTGAGAGGTTAGCAACTAGTGAACAAGTGGATAAATCTCACATGGTCAATAATTTCATCAGCTGCGAGACTCAACTATATGGTCAAGAATGAAAGGCTGGGTACAAAGCAGTAGCTTTGTGCTATGCATGCCACAAAAGCAATAAACATTTGGGATAAGTCCCATAGCTGGTAAAGCATATCTGAGGCTCATACAATAGATGATATTATATTGATATCTATTATATATGATATATATTATATATATAATATGATACTATATATATACACTTGTTCGTTTTAGCATAATATATTTCAATATCCTGAGACATATTTGCACCCAGTTATAAAATTCTGATGTGACCTGATCACAAACATGAGCATTTGAACTGGACTTAACACTATTTATAGTCCTCATCACAGTGACACATCTGTTGAATCTGTGTATTCTCACATCACTCCCTGTAACCATTTTCACTTGTGTAATCTTGGAAAATCTATGTTGGTCTTTTGGAGCAATTTGAAGATGGGTAAAGTCTCAGGAGAAGATACAAACAGGACAGGATCACACAGATGTGTCATGGAGTGGTGACCTCTCCACTGGCACCGTTTCTCATACAGTGGACCAATTTCACAAGCACAAATTAGTATAGTTTTAAAAAGGCTAGGGACATCCCTAACTGGAATTAGGGATTCTGTGTCTGTCCAGATAGAGTTGCTGAAAGATGTAGTAGTTTTATTTTATTTTATTATTATTACTACTATTACAATTATAATTAAAATTTTCATTATTATATTAGTACATTGTTCTTATTATAGCATGATTATGATATAATTATTAACCTCTATTATAATATAATTATTATTAATAATAATAATCTCTAATGCAAGCCAAAATGTAGCTTCTTATTTTTTCCTGCTAGCCACCATGCTCCTCTCTTTTCCACATATCAGTGCATTAAGCATTTCTAAATATTACTGAACGACCTGGCTGTTGATACTGTGATTCAAACAGGCACAGCAGTTTTCTTTACAGTCCATATGCTTAGTCCCAAATGACACAACACCATGATATTTTTTCTACTTCCCCTGTTGTCTTCTGCCTCAACACATCTTAATTGAAACTCCATGGCTGAGGGCAAAGATCCTGCTTCTCCTTGCCCCAGAGCCTAATGGAGTTACAGGCAGAACAAAGAGCAAACGGGCAAGCCATGATCATTCGTATTTGGATTAAAAATTGTTCCCCATGAGAACAAGTTCAAATTTAACTTCTCTTCAGAGGTGAGAAGGATAACTAATCTTAGTCTTGCTAATCATTAATAATTACGGTAGCACTAAGCAGACATTATACTGAATGTGAGCACTTGATAAAAGCAGACTGTCTTCTGCATAGCATGGATGGGACCACAGAGCCTTGTACTTTCAATGGGCTGTGTTTAGTTAATTTTTGAATGAAATAAGAAAAATAAAAGGGATGATAAAAAGTGAAACACAGCCAAGCTTTCATCTATAAAGTCACATTTGTAAAGGCTTTTTGTGTATTTTTACAAGCATTATTCATGTTCACTTCTAAGAGAATTCTAACTCTCAGAAATGGAGTTTTGCACAGCCTAGACACCAGAAGTCACTTTTTAGAGATAGAAAGAATTTTCAGACTGTATATAATTGATACATATAGCAATTAACTTATCAAAAGAAGTCAAGAAGGCTAATGTGCTGTAGGGAGAAAAGCATCTGCAAAGTTCTGGCACAATCCACTGACCACATTATTTCCAGCAATTTGGTTTTTAACTCAGACTTTGATCACTGACATAATTTCCCTCCCAGCTTAGATAAAGGTCCTCTATGTCTTTCAGTACATACAAGAAAAACATCAATTAGAAAGGAAACCCAATATAATTTCTGTCCCAGTTTTATACTCCTTGAAGCAATAAAGAGGCCAGAGAGGCCTTCCCAGCAGTACAAGGATATGCATTCATAGGAAATGGAAAGATTACTCTTATTCTCCAGTATTGTAAGATCACCAACAACCTCCAAATCCCTTGAGCTATTTATTGAAAATCTTCTATCAAGAAGAAATTATCAGATGCTGTGACCCTTCTACTGCAAAACAAATGCATATATTTTGCAGGAATGTATTTGTAAATATTTAATGGATATTTATTTTATGCTCTTCTTTAATTATAGTAGGTTTGCTAAGAAAGTACTAAACCTTTACGCACTAGATGCTTAAAGCTAGTCTGAATGCAGGTTTAGAGATTAAAATCTTTTATGGAGAGGTGTAAATGTTGCAGATGTGGCCTTCTTGCTCCTAAATATCAATTTAACTTCTTAGTCTAGCAGCTTATTCAGAAGGTTCAAATCCTCATTTTGCAGTCATCTTTCTCACAGAAAATGCAGCAAAATAGACATTTAAAGAAATATTACTAAAGAAATGTAGAATTCAATGTAGAGCATGTACTTAGTCAAAAGTTAGAAGGTTCATAACTTCATCTAGTTGTCTTAATGTGTTATTTACTCCTGTTCTAGTGTACACCATAATTTTGGGCCTTCATATTCTATATTATTTAGATAAATTTTTAGTAAAATTTTGCCTCTGTTTAATTCTACAAATTAAAAGCTGCATAATGAATAAAATATATTATAAAAACCTGCAAAAATTAATAAAGTCATAAAGTTCAGGTGTCAAGTTCTAACCCCCAAAAATTTTTAGCAATTGTCCATTTTAAATTAAAAGTCCTAGCACGTGCCACATGCATACACCAGGAAAAACCTTCAACCCATTCTAATTCTATTAACTGATAAGTAAAATAGAGTCATTAAATCAGTTTCAGTCAATTAGCTCTGTGTGTGTTTCATGCTGCATTTAAGAGGCATGAAAGGCCCAAAGGTAAATTTAAAGACAGAGAGCAACATCACAACAAGTTCCAGTCATAAAGAATTTCCAAATTACAAATTCTGGTTTACCAAAAATACTTTTAAACACCATCTACTTGAGGTTATATAAGCTTCTGCCAAAATACATATACTAGTAATGTTACCCCATATCCTAATTTTTTCCAGATAAAAAGAATAGATATGCATTCAACCTTATTCATAAGGTAGCAAAGCAGGAAGAGTCTATGAAAATGATTTTTATTGTTCAAGCAAATAAGTGATGACAAAGAGATAATTAATTTCGAGTGAAATTCTACAGATAGATTTTAAGTGGTTTTTCAGCAAAACTTTAAGTAGGTGGACAAATGTAAAAACTACTGCTTTTCTATAAATGGGTTAATCTCATTAAGGTTTCTGCAGCCACAGAATCTCTACACCAGCTCTTTTCTTGCTAAAAATTCAGCAAGGAATCAATTCCATCCTTCAGTGAGAGCCTCTCCTTGCGTTAAGATGAGGCACGACGTGGCAGACGTGGTGATATCTCCTAATCCTCGCTTTAGCAGATATGCCATCAATGACAAAGTGCCCTTACTCGAATGTGTTATGTGGATTAATTTTTAATTAAGATCTAATTAAAATATAATTAAATTATCAGTAATCTGATGCCCAAATTATTTTAGGAGAAGGTTAGCTTTCAGTTCAGTTCAGTTAGAAGGATTAATGTGGTCCGTGGGACCAGAACCTTACCTACAGGCTTTACAGGCCTTAACTCAACATGTTCCTGGGGGGGCTGTCGGTAGGAGTATGTGTCAAGTCCACCTATGAAATCAACTGAAAATACAACAGTTCCAGAAATGAACAAATGGAAATGAAAATATGTCAACTGAAAAAGAAATGTGGACAAATTATGTTAAAAAAACCCAAAAAAATGTTCATGCACAAGTTTGCATACAAGAAATAAACCAAGTAGATAAAGATGCTGTGGAAACTGCTTACAGAAGATTCCATGCTCTGTCTTCCTTGGGGTCTGTTTAGCCCCATGCCTGGAAAGACAGGCAGCAGTTGGATGAGCAGACATACACACTCCTGCCAGTGTGTGTGCAAAAGGAAATTTCATGGATGTGCAGAGCACGTAAAGAGAAACCACTATGGGGTAAAATAGCAGATTCTCTTTAGGGAAATATCAGCGTGTATATGTACATATATATATATATATATATATATGTACATATATATATATTTAAAATTTAATAATTCACTTAAAACTCCATGTTTAGAAATTTAGGCAATGGAAACAATTTAGCTTGTGAACCTAATTTCACCTAAACTCTTCAGGCTCAATGGACTTGTAGAAAAGCACAAATAAAAACCAAAGGCATGAGAGTTGAGTTAAGAATAAACAAGTGATCACTAAATATGAAAATGTAGCAGCATCTTCTCTGGATGAACTTGTGGGGTCAGGACACCTTTTCAGAATCCTTCCACTTTCTATGTCAGAAATAATGTGCTTTTGAGAGGTTTTTAGTTCCTTCTATGGTGGTAGTGATTTTTTGAAAAGGACATTTTACTCTGAGTCTTGTATTTTGTTATTTTGGTAAGATTTTAAGCAGCTCCAAGAGGCCACAATTTCATGCTATCTTAGAAATCTTAAAAGCAGGTTTGTGGAAAAGACTATTTGATTGATTTCAAAGGGCCTTTTGCAGACATGTCCAGAGCTGACAAATGCACAGTACAGGAGGATTCTTTAGTCGCATGGAAAGCAACCTCCTTCACTTGTTATATAAGTGTTTACCCAGAGTGAGGCGATGGGAAAATGAAGCTTAGAGATTGACAGACTAATGAAATTCCCACTGAAATCTGTGGAAATGCTCCTGTTGATTTCAGTTTGCTTCTCCTCCTGAGTCCAGAAATGGCTGAAAACTGAACTTGATGATACTGAACTGAACTTCAATCATAGAGCATCATTGCTTCACCAAGACTGTTCTCTTAAAACTGCCTGAGCAGGACATAATGTTCTGAAGAGCTTGCCCAGCCTGAGTGCCTGCCCCAGCCTATCTGCACCTCCTCTTTCCATTGTATTTCTTTCATATGCTGCACCTCTTCTTCCGAATGTTGTCACTAAACGCCGTCACATGCATCAAAATTTACTTCAGCACTAGCGGGATCAAATCCTGACAAATAGCTGCAGATGAACTGTTGTAAAAGATGATTTTTAAACCATGGAATCACAGAATGGTTTGGGTTGGAAAAGACCTTAAAGATCATCTAGTTCCAACCCCTCTGCCACAGACAGGAATACCTTTTACTAGAGCAGGCTACTTATCCAACCTGGCCTTGAACACTTCCAGGGTTGGGGCATCCAACTTCTCTGGGCAATCTGCTTCTGTGCTGTGTCAGTTTCACAATAAAGAATTTCTTCCTAAAATCTAATCTAAACCTACTCTCTTACAGTTTGAAGCCATTCCTCATCATCCAGTCACTACATGCTCTTATAAAAAGTCCCTCTCCATCTTTCTTTTAGGCTCCCTTCAGGTACTGGAAGGCCACAATTAGGTCACTCTGAAGCCTTCTCCAGGCTGAACAATTCCAATTCTCTCAGGCTTTCCTTATAGGAGAGGTGATCCATCCTTCTAATCTACTTGGTGTCCCTCTGGATGTACTTTAACAGATCCATCTCCTTCATTTAGTGGGAACTTCAGAGGTAAATGTTAGACGTCTAATACAATACATATTTACTGAATAATTTTTTAGAATAAATCACGTCCACACTGATTTTCATTTATTTGGTTGGGGTTTTTTTAGGTTTTTTTTGATTATGCACTTTAGTATTCCCCAATTTCCAGTGATCTGGAGGTTGTTTGGGTTTTTGTTTGTTTGGTTTTTTTTGTTTTGGTTTTTTTTTTTTTTTTTGGTTTTTGGGGTTTTTTTTTGTTTTTTTTTTTTTTTTATATTGAGCAGATGTTAAGACAAGGAGCTAAAAGAATGTTTTTGAGGCAATTCACCACTTCAGAACCACACATCATTCCTCTCAGCAATCACAAGCGGTTTTTTTTTTTTTTGTTTTTTTTTTTTTTTTTTTTTTTTTTTTTTTTTTTTTTTTTTTAATTGAGCACATGTTAAAACAAGGAGCTAAAAGAATGTTTTTGAGGCAATTCACCACTTCAGAACCACACATCATTCCTCTCAGCAATCACAAGCATTATATGCAATTGTAAGCAGGGAGAGAATTTAAAGTAACTAGCCTTTCTACCAACAAATCTTTTTGAGCAAGAAATGAAGTTGAGATGTATTAATGATTGACAACATAGACGTGTCTTTGCTCTGACAAAGAAAATATATTTAATAGCACCATCCAGCAATTGTTGAGATGAGCTGCTCAAACCTGTTTAGCTGAGGCTTTCTCTTTTGCAATTGAAGACACCTTATGCAGTATTAAAGCTGAAGTTCACCTTAAAATTTATGTGAAGCTCATTCACAAGGCAAGAAGCTGTTCCAATGGAAAGTGCCATTTTTCATCATGCCCTCTATTTTATGGCTTATACCTCTTTAATATGAAGATTTGTCATCAATTATTTGAATTATAAGTTACTTCTAATTTTAAAAATTAATTTTGATTTTACCTGGTATTTTCATCTCTTATAATTAGCAGTCTTCCAGGACAAAGACCACAAGTGGCCATTAAACATAGAAAACTGAATTTTTATTTTCATCGGAGGCAAAGACATTATGATGTACATTTCAGTGTAAGCAGGGATCAAATATCTTAAAACTTTATCTTGAATGAACTTTTGGATGCATACATATCTTTGGATGCATACATGCATAATTGGCCAACAGTAAATAACAGCAAATTTATGTAGATTTTTCAAGAGGAAAATATTGGTTTAGGGATGATATAAAATAATTAGGTTTTTTTATTTCTGCCTGATTAATGGATTATGGATAATTTCTGCCATGGATTTACAGGGCTACATTAAATAGCTTCAGAAAGTTGCATAAGCCTGGGAGAAAGTTCAATTAAAAAAACATGTTCTATACAGTTCTATAGTACTATGCTTTAAATTTAAAAAAAAACCCCAAACCAAAGCAACAACCACAACTTGTCAGCAGTAGGGACATTCAGTCACTAAATAACAAACACCCCATGTAGTGCAGTCATAAACTACAGTCATACAGAGGGAAACTTAAAGTCCTAGGGAGAGGATTTTTTAGCATCCCAGAGATAATAGCAGGTTACAGCAGAAGCTGGTTATTTTATCTGCACCTGGCTGCAAAACATGATCCCTATTCCCAGGGAATTGCTCTCTCCTTGTGTCACCTCAGTTTTGTGGTCATGCTGGATGCTTAATGACCAGTGTGAAATGTTCCTTTAGAGTTCACTACCTGCTGTGCTTGGAAGTGCAAATCTGTGCTGGCTGCCCACGGCAGGCAGTCCATTAAAGTGATGTTCATTCATTCACGGGCCGTATCAGAGCAACGCTTGTCATAATCTGCCTGAGTGAGAAAAGTGCAGTATGCTGCTGGCTGAAGAAAGTGCATCCGCTGTCATCAGTAATTTTGAGGGTTATTCTTTTCTAGACAGATGACATTTTGGGTTGCCTTACTACTATTTATCCAGTGCATTCACCCATATGCAAGTTTAAATTTGCTTTCCTTTGAAGTTAGCGTAAAAGAATCAGAGCTCAGAAAAAAACAATCCTTTCTCCTTTTCCATCCTCTCATCTGGAATTCAGCTTCTCTGGCAATATCTCATTGACCTGCTGGCAGGCCCTGTGCACACAGCTGCCAGAGCTTGTCAGCTCATTGGTATATTACTAATTTCTTATTTCAAAGTTGGAAAATTCTTAGCATGTCTGGAGGTGGAGGGTATGAACCGAGTAACAATATGGCAACAGGACAACTCTTAGGAGCTCCTGCACTCTCTCAGCCTGGAATATCTTATATTCTATTCATGTTTGCCTCCCCATTTTATAAATGGGAGTAAGCCCCAAAGCTGATGGCTCAAATAGTTGGCATCTCCAGCTGTCCCCTTTCCAAGAGAGAGGCAGACTACCAGGTGTTCAAACTTGTGTTTTCATGGACAGAAGATTTTCTTAACCTCTGGGGTTCCAAATACTATTATTTTGCACTGAAGTATTTTCCTTGTACTGAGATTTTTTATTAAATGGCAATATAACAATGCAATTATTAAGAAAAGCCACGCAACTGAGGAGCGTGTAACCAGCAGAAAAGAACAAAAATCAATTAGGAACAGGAAGCAAAACTGGGGGATTGATGATAAGTCAGTGCTACATGCATGAAGTCCAAAGTTCAGACTTTCCAATGTTTGTGCTTGTAGTTACATAAACTTTCCAGATAAGTATGTTTTTTTTTCCTGAAAAAACTGCTTTTTCAGTTGCCTTCCCTCCTCAAGAGATCCACTGTCCTTATACCCTTCACTGCACAAGCCAGACTGACCCAGCCATCTGTCTGGAGCCAGATTTTCCCCATTTTCCCCATTTCCCCATTTTCCCCTCTTCATACTAAACCTAAGTCTCAAGCCATGTTCCATTGCAGGATCACAGGAATGGCTTCTCACTTATGTAGAGGATTAAAGGAGGGAAAATGTGTGCAGGACGATTAAGAAAGTGAGAAGAAGAGACATCAGTAATCATTTGTGGCACTCTGATTGCTGCTCTGTCTTTATAAAGTACTGGCAGATGGTAATCAGCTTAAAACAGGATAAAGTGGTAGAAAATTACTAAGAGACACCCTTTTACTTAAGCTTTTATTACTGGAAGCTAGAAGGGGAATATTTCAATGTTCCACAGTAATTATTATGATATTTGCAC